GCCAGAAGGCACACACTTTGGAATGCCACCACAAGAAGTGGTGAGATGGGCTCAAGAAGCTCCACCATATGATCATCTACCAGAGACCGAGAAACAATTTGCTCTTTTCACCGATGGCTCCTGTCGTCTTGTAGGGAACCGCTGAAAGAGGAAAGGTGATGTGTGGAGTCCTAAACGACTAGTTGCACAAGCAGATGGAGGAGGTGAATCAAATATGTTTGCAGAGCCATCCAGCTGGCTTTGGACATTGCTGAGCGAGAGGGGCGGCCAAGACTCTGTGTCTATACTGACTCGTGGATGGCAGCAAATGCCTTGTGGGGTTGGCTAAAGCAGTGGCAGCAGAACAACTGGCAGCGAAAAGGTAAACTTATATGAGTTGCAGATCTGTGGAAAGATATTGCAGCTCTGATAGAGAAACAGGTTGTAAAGGCGTGTCATGTAGATGCACATGTGCCTCTGAGTCGAGCCACTGAGGAACATCGACACAACCAATAAGCAGATGAGGCTGCTCAATTGTTCCAAATAGACTTAGACTGGGAACACAAAGGTGAACTCTTTCTGCCTCGATGGGCCCATGATGCTTCAGGTCATCAGGGCAGAGATGCAACATACAGATGGGCTTGTGACCCAGGGGTGGACTTAACCATGAACACTATTGCACGGGTTATCCATGACTGTGAGACTTGTGCTGCAATTAAGCAGTCTAAACACTTGAAACCTTTGTGGTATGAGGGGAGGTGGTCAAAGTACAGGTATGGTATGACTCAAGAAAGGATACTTCTGTGACCCAAAAGGGTACCGGTGGGCCTTTGGTATAGCAGCTGTAGAGACTGAGGACACTGAACAGCTGCATACTTTGCCTGGCCTTTCAGATGACCTTTTCTAGTGGGGTTGCTGAAGGTTGAATAGAAGCAGGTGCCAACTGCCATTTCAACGGTGTGTAGATGACAATATTGCACCAACAGATTCTGTGATCCCCATTCATAAGCTGATCCGGCAATCGGAAAGCCAAGGAGTGATCAGCAGGACTCACTCACCCTTCAACAGTACTATAAAGCCAGTGTGAAAACCTGATGGAGAGTGGAGGCTGACAGTGGACTATCATGGCCTAAATGAGGTTAGACCACTGCTCAGTGCTGCTGTGCTGGACATGCTAGAACTTCAGTACGAGCTGGAGTTGAAAGCAGCCAGGTGGTATGCCACTATTGACATTGCTCATGCCTTTTTCTCTATTCCTCTAGCACCAGAGTGCAGGTCACAGTTTGCTTTCACCTGGAATTGACTGCCTCAGGTGTGGAAACACAGCTTAACCATTTGCCATGGACTGATCCATGCTGCACTGGAGAAGGGTGGAGCTTCAGAACACCTGCAGTACATGGACAACATCATTGTGTGCAGTGACATGTCATAAGAAGTCTTTGAGAAAGGTAAAAAGAGCATCCAAATTCTTCTGGATGCTGGTTTTGCTGTAAAAAGAAGCAAGGTCAAGGGACCTTCATAAGACATCCAGTTCTTGGGCATCAGGTGGCAAGATGGATGTCGCCAGATCCCATTTGTATATAATTGTATATATTTTATTTTATCATTAATGTTTAATTAATGTTATGTAGTTTAGTTTTCAATCCAGAGCATCTCTCTCCTCATTCCCTCTCTCTTT